CCGTTTATTTTTCCTAGGTTTCAGTATGCAGACTTTATACATCAATTTTTTTTTATTATTCACCATTCGTAATTTGAATTTTTGACTAATCAAATATGCTCTTTATGAATGTCCGTTCGTTAAAAAAATCTTCTATTGTGAACATATAAATTTAAAAATATAAATATGTGTCTAAAATAAAAACTATAAATAGAATATATAAAATTATATCCTGTAATAGCGTCAAAGCTTTTATTAAGAAACCCAAAAAGGGATATTTATTTGTTTTATTTAGCAATTTTAATTTTATATTTAGTTAAACATACGAACTGTTTTTATATTAATTTTTTGTTTGTTACAGTTTCTTTTCTTTACCCATTATTACCATTAAATCAATAAATTCTCAAGCTAGTCAGCCTTTCTTTAATTCGCCCAAGCATCGAACCCGTCACAAAGGTATGTGGGCTCCAATTTTCCGCACTTAAGACACTTATCGGTCCTTTTACGCGATATTAGGCATTATAGTTAAGAAAATAAGGCCAAGCGGTTCACATATAGGTTTCAAGGCGTGGCACCGTGGAAAATGGTAGAACAAGAGCATATCAAAAATACTTTTTATGAATATCATAATTTGTTTGATTTGGTGATTTTATTAGGATCTCAAATAATCGAATTATAATATTCATTAAGTTTTTTATCGAAAATGCACGAAGTTACATTTTTTTCATAGGTAGAAGTACATAGAAGACGGGAGTGCCGAACTCGAGTCTACGCATATACATGTTTCAAAACCATATTGTGCAATATATATTGGGTACATATATGCAGTATTATACATTTTTGGAAAGGTTATTTCATGCTTATTACGTAACAGCTTCTTAATTTCTAAAGCAGCGACAATTATGTCAGTAAGTAATTAAAAAGTGGCATACCTTATTTTTGACTTTTCTTTTTTTTCGTCTAAGGTTTTCAATATTACCCACGACTCCCCACGCGCAACTTTTTATGTTAATTGATAGTCTAACTATTCAGTAACAGAATACAAAAAAAAACAGCTGCGGAAGTTTGCGGTTTTAGAAAATATAAGAAATAATGTGTGAAAAGTCGGAAAAAAAAATCAGTATCTTTTGCGGTTTACCACAGACACCGTTCACAAGGACAATTATTATATATTACTTTTGGAATATTTTATTTATTTAGCGATAACAAACGAATCTTATCAAATTTGCACTCGTTATGCGTGAGAAATTACTAGATAATAATTATGTGGGTACCAATTTGATATTGGAAACAATTTGATATGGCAATACCGCACGAAGTTTTTTTTTTTAATTACACTTGCTCAGCGGAAATTACGGGTGTAGACGAAACATTCGATCAACATCGAAAATTCACGAAGTTACATTTTTTTCATAGGTAGAAGTACATAGAAGACGGGAGTGCCGAACTCGAGTCTACGCATATACATGTTTCAAAACCATATTATGCAATATATATTGGGTACATGTATGCAGTATTATACATTTTTAGAAAGGTTATTTCATGCTTATTACGTTACAGCTTTTTAATTTCTAAAGCAGCGACAATTATGTCAGTAAGTAATTAAAAAGTGGCATACCTTATTTTTTACTTTTCTTTTTTTTCGTCTAAGGTTTTCAATATTACCCACGACTCCCCGCGCGCAACTTTTTATGATAATTGATAGTCTAACTATTCAGTAACAGAATACAAAAAAAAACAGCTGCGGAAGTTTGCGGTTTTAGAAAATATAAGAAATAATATGTGAAAAGTCGGAAAATAAAAATCAGTATCTTTTGCGGTTTACCACAGACACCGTTCACAAGGACAATAATTATATTACTTTTGGAATATTTTATTTATTTAGCAATAACAAAGGAATCTTATCAAATTTGCACTCGTTATGCGTGAGAAATTACTAGATAATAAGATAATCCTATTGGACAGCTGTCGGAAGACGCACAAGAGTCTCGCAACAAAGACTACAGAAACATGCGACTTCATCATGCCAAAAAATGTTCCCAGTCTGCAACAAATGAAGATGTCTTTAAAATGCTTTTGTGCACGTCAGATCCATATATAACAAGTTTAAGAAAACCATACTTAAGAAATGTAAAAAATCTTGAAGTAGAGGCAATAAAGTCTTTTAAAAGTGGTACCTGAAAGTGAACGCACGTTTACTGACCCTGATCCTGAAGCAATATAAGTACCTACCAAAATAAAAATAATATTGATATTTAGTTATTAGTAATGTTTGTAACGAGTTATATCAATCTCTGAAGCTACAGGCCTAGTATAGTTTGTTTGTTCAGCAAAAAAATTTTTTTGTATTTTTTATTAATTGGGTAATTTTGTATTTAACCATAGTTTTAGCCTTTTTAGTCATTAAAACTTGTCTTTCTTTTGGAATTATTTTTTTTACCATTTTATTTTTGTGTTTTCCCCTTTTTTTTTACTTCTATGACATATAACATATATATGTATATAGAAAAACACTACAAATTATACATCATTTGAATTTCCAAACCTCACTGAATATTTGTAGCAAATTTCATTGCGGTACTACAAAAAATCATGAAGTTATACATTTTTGATCCGATAACGACCGATTCTGCCCACCGTGCGTGGCCTGTCTAAAGTCCACTAGTGTCAACCTTACTGTTTTAATAGTAGAATTGCTGTTTTCACATTGATGCACCTGTTTTCTGTTTCATTCTTAATTTTTACTGTTTTTCAATAAGTGTTCAGTCACAGAAAGGCACGTGAAGAAATTAAATAAAACTATGTATGATTTAAAAAAGGAAATGAGTTAGAAAATACGTATAGAAGATGACGCAATTGAGGATGAAAGTGGAAGCTGATTTATTTCGTTTCATTTTTCTTTATTTTGTGATTAATATTATAATATAATAATCTATGTAATTTGTGACAAATACTAAAAATATAACAGTATTATCATATCACTTTCATTTATATGAGTATAGAATGAAATATGCCTTTCTTTCATATCCTACTGTTTTCTCCTATTTTTTATTGGTGATCTGTCGTTTTCTAGTTTCAAGGGGTTGGCAACACTGCTAAGGTTTACGATTCAATTAACGCTCTGCTCAATGTAAAAAATGAACTTTTGTAATCATATATTGTCTCAGATCTAGGCGTTGTGATACTTTCGTTGATTCAACAAGATGACAAGTGCTTTAGCTACTTTAGTTTGTAATATTTATTTATATGTCTTATAATATTTATTTACCCACTATAACGTATCATACCATGTAAATACCGTGATTGTGCCAGCCAAAAATATTTTTATTTTCCGTTGAATTGTAGAGACGTCACTTTCTTAAAGCTTTCATTAACGACCTTAACAAGAACTGAATATTGCGTCTTTCCTCAGGTTTGACATTTTCAATTATAAGTTTTTTAATTATGTTTAAAAAAAAAAACTTTCTGATCTTTTACCTATTTATTTAAAGATTTCTTAAATAAGGATGATGACTGGTTAAGAAAAAAAGAAATTCTATTTATTCTGCTGCTTGGATAATAGTAAAATATTAGATATGTATTGTTGCCGACAGCCTTACCATGTTTTTGATATATTATTACTGACCTCTCTAAGGAGGCTTTTATACTTATTTTTAATTTTTTTTTTACTTTTTGACTTCGTCAATGTTTTGGTTTTTCTTGTATCTTGTGCTTTTGTACGTTATTCATAAATAAATCTTTTACTTTGCCAAAGTTATCTTATTAAATTATCTACAGTCCATTGTGCTTGCTGTCGATTACACGTATTTTTTTTTGCTTCAATTTAACAAGAAATGGCTTAGATAATAGACATTAAAGGGACTGGGGGGCACGTTACGTCACAGTTTTGTAGAAAATGTACAAAAGCGTGACGTCATGTGCCATTTCGACACAATCTATCGCCGTAACTTCACTAATCAAACTGCCGAACAAACAAAAATTAGTCATAGTCCCTATTATACTTGATACAGATTATGATTTTCTTGACCAGTTCATTTTTCCCAATTTGTTATCTGCCAACTTAATTTTTAAATTCAATAAACGGAAATAACCATTTTATTAATGTGGGTAAATCTTTGAAAGTATTTTTCTCCGATATTCTTCAAAGATTCTCTAACTTCCAAAAACATTTGATGAATATAGCAAAGAAAAATAATTGTTGTGATTTGATGATGAAGTATAATAAATATTTAATAAAAAATGTGCAGTTATATTACGAATAGAAATTTAAAACGGGTATATAAAATAAATATAAAATCAAAAGCAATAAATTTATTAAACGAAATAAAATTAACAGGAACCAATTCATTCATATTAATACACAGAAAAATAAAGACACAATTATAAAATTGAGATGCTACAAAAAACAAATCATACTACAAAAGTACAATAGCAACGTAGCAAAAGATAAGATTTTCATAAAAAAAATAAAAACACACGAAGTCTTGGACAAAAAATAAATAAAAAAAAACATTAACAAAATAAATATTAACAAAAACAGCGAGGTTAAACGTAACTATTCCCCATTGAATGAATGCGACTTAAAACTAAAATGACAAAAATTCTAAAACTAGTTTTCTGCTACTACGGAAAATCTTAGTATTACGATAACATATTTAAATTATGGAATGCATTACGAAGTGTACAAACAAAAAATATTTCTGTACATGATAAATAATACACACTTAAAATTACTACTATACAGAATCCTTCCGCAGAGAATAACAAGACACACAAGAGATATTAAATAAGTTAAAGAATATAATGTCTATTTAATTTAGGTCTAATACTAGCACCACTTTCCTAAAATTGTCAAACACCAGTTTAAATTCGTATTTTTCTACAGATGACTAGTATGCCACTAATTTGAAATTTTCAAAGATGCTTCCCCATTATGCAAACAACAATTATATCTGATAAAACCTTGGATATAAACAGTCAGGTGATATGACATTCATTAAAGTATGCATAATGGTTTGACATTAGACAATGATGCCATTACCGACCTCTTTGGAGAATGTGACTTGGGGTAAATGTAGTTTGCGTCTGTCTAGTGACTGGCTAGTCGATGAACAGGCAGTCGGTGGCCTCGCCTGTGTCGCTGGAGACGCTAACACTGTAGTTCTCGGCGAACGAGGTGCAGGAGGAGGCGTGGATTCTACAGGTATTGTCACTTGGGCTAGACGTGGTCTTGGATTTGATGCTGACCCATTGTGAGGCACTCTTCTGAATGTTTCCAGAGTTAAGATCTGACCAGCCGATCTGAAACGATAAGTGTCAAAATTTACTGTGATGCTCCAAAGCCAACTAAGATATCCAAAATAGCTCAAATAATTATTGCAGTTATAACGTATTGCTTTTATAGAGATTATTTTAAGCTCTATTGAGTTCCTCACTTGACAAGAGTCCTGACTTCCTCTTCAGAGGCAGTGACTACGTTTTTATTGCCTACGAAGACGAGATAGTCCCCTGCTCTCAAGCCAGCTCTTTCTGCTGAACCTCCTGCAGCCACTCTCTCCACCCTGGGTGGCCTTGTCCAGACCACAGTGAAACCGAAGCCACCACCTGTTCCTCTGACGAGTCTAGAAATTAAAAGAAGATGTAGATTGATATGATCTTGTAATAATAGTTATAATACTAAAGACATGTTTTAAAAGATTGTTTGATGAACGATTCGTTAAAATAAATTTATGTGGTTTGTATCATTTGTATCTGCGCATAAATTAAGTGACTGCATCAACAAGCCAGTACACGTATTATTTTGGCAAGTAAAGAAATTTTAATAATTATAAGTTCATATATTGGTATAGACAAACCTAAATGAAAGGGATTGTTCAAAGTTACTCACTTTCTAGTCGTTGTAAAGGGAGTTCTGCCATTCCGTTGCGACTTTCTTGGTGCTGCAGGATCCTCGGGTGGGTCGAGTTCCAAATACCGGAGGAACAGATGTTCATCAGCTTCCCTCTGAAGAGCTGCCGCCACTGTTTGAGCCTGATTCGCGGCCGTGGAGGATGGCCCGTTTGCTGCCACACCTGTTTCGATATCTACATTAGTGAATCAGCAAATTAGTTTATTGACTTCACAAGTTTTTATAGAGTTTGTTACAGTTACGAACAACTTATTGGTTTTAGAAGATAAATATTATGAATGAATGAATTATCAAAAATACTATTTAAAATGTAATCACCAATGCTGTGTTCAATCTCTGATTAGTATCCAGACTCAAGTGTGAAACAAAATATATAAGTCCGTTTAAAGAAAAACGATTATGTACCTTTATCATTGTGATTTTCTTTAGTGCCATCATTAGTACTTGTCTCGATGTTGTCTGTAGCCATCTTGCGTCTGTCTTCAGTCAGTCGATCAGTTCTGTCATTTGGTGTCTGCTTGCTTGACCCTTGCAGGAAGTACGTGCCAGATATATCACTGGATATTGCATCTTTCAGTGGGAACGAGACACATCCTAGAAACTCGCTCCTCCTGAAACAAGAGAAAATTAATTTTTACTTTTACGAAAACCAAATCACATTCATGGAAATAATAAATTTGTTTTGAAATCTCGGTTATGAGCGGTATATCGGAGTTTGTGTTTTCGTTCTTATTTTTTCGGGTATAGATATGATATATCATTACGATTTATCGAGAATTTTTTTATGCATATCTATTATTTTATATAAAGAAAACATTTCGATTTTAAATGAGTCATACAGTAAATAAATTGAGAAATAACAAGTATGTTGTAAATTTATTATGGATGAAGAAAACTCAATTTAATATGAAAGGTTTTTGTTATTAGTAGTACATCATTTAAATATGTTATATATCCTAGACACCAAAACTAACATTTATAGAGTTGCAAGGCTTTTTATTTTACAGGAAAAAGGCAAGTATACAATTATGAAGTTATTGTAAGTGCAAGGAAAGTCCATAGAACATTGTGTGTTCTATCTTTAGTAATATTAATATATCTTCGGTATCTATCTTGGTTCTTTCATCTTTATTATCATCTGAGCAATAGCTTTTAACTTCCACGAAGGTGCCGTCTTGAAATTTATTCAGTGACACTCGAGTTTCTTAATGCAATGCTCTTGACGTTGGTAAAGAACCGAAAGCTTTTGACTTTTACTGAATTATTCTTTAGGTTTATTTCATTCAGATGATTCAAAGGTTGAAATCTTTTGGACCAACATTGTGAAAATCTACTAAGTTTCCATAAACTTAAATTTTTCAGTACTTTAGTTTGCTATGAATTCATTTTTGTATCAAATCTTCTTTACATCTTCAATTCTTTGGCGTTTCATTCCACTGTGTTTTAAGAAGTATTTTGTATAAACGCTAAGATTTTTTGTATAAGATTCAGTTTAGGTTTAACAAGATATTAAGACCTTTACATAGGATTTAAATTAAAATTTAAAAGTGTCGATATAACAAATGAGCTTTAAGCTTAAAGCCATAAGAGTAAATATTACTCATATTTGCATAGTTTCTTTCGTTTTCATGTCTTATTTCCCTCAGTCAATATGGCTCGCATGTGGAGTTCGCGTGTTCGTTTTAAACATATAAACTTAAGGTTAACAGCCAGTTTACCTTCTTCCATGACTGTTTAAGTATTAATTAAGAATTTCAAAGAAACCTACAACCAATAATCAATAAAATGAATACTATTTTAATAAAATAAATAGAATGAGGTGATATTATAATTTTCGAAATGGTCCACGTTAACAAAAGTTTTTTTTTAAACATATTGATTAATTTTTATTGTCACCAACTTTGAATACATGAGGTTTATTACGATACAAGACATTATAATTAAATATTTACAAGTGTTATCAGTTTATATCGGAAAATTCTAGAAAGCCTGCACATTTTTCTTACATTTTATTTTCCTCCAGTTCTATGTACCAACAGATTGAAGAGAAATTTATGGATATATAATAAACTTAATGTCGTTTAATTCTGGGTTTATAAAGCTTTGGGTATTAATAAATTTAGCCAAGCGGTTACTTAATTCTATCACTTATTATTCGGTGTTCATCATGATGCACGTTGGAGCTTTATTTCAACCAAAAAGGTAAATCTTCTTTATCTGCTTCTGATTCTTCGATATTGACATTTATAGAATTGCCTCCAAATAAACATTAATCACAAAATAAACACATCTATAGGGTTTTCGTGCAAGGTCCTCCCCTAATCACATAAGCTTCTAAGCATGCAAGGGGCTTGTCCCGCAAAGCCTTTCTTCTTTCCCGTGCTATGGAGTGCGTCCATGCGTACAAGAGTGACTGGGGATACCAAGGGGGACTTACGGAGATGGCTGTCACTCTTCTTCTAGAATAGGTGGGCTCTGTGAAGGGGAGCCCTTAACTCTGTCGATGATATCTGCTGGGAGGCTGTTTTTCCTGACTCTTGGTTCTGGGGGATCCCATTCTGGCAGGCTGTTCTTTCTGCACAGTTGATGATTGCGATGTGTGTGCTGATGTGAGCAGTGTTGACGTGGTGGTGGGTCTTCGCGTCGGGTTTGGCTCAGGCCAGCAACCGTTTGAGAAACGAATGACATCTTCGGTTTTTTTTTTATAATACAACTGGAAATGGCTTTGGTTCTGACTTAGATTACTTAACTGAGAGGTAAGAATATAAATAAAGTCTTCGCACTGGTTTAGGTTAGTGAAATTATCATCATCGGGTAAATATAAATGCATGTATTCTGAAGTGATATATGAAAGTGATAAATGAACTAGCAAAAGAAAATCGAAAACAGACGTTTAACAGAACGAAAGTGAAAGAAAGTTGTGGAAGGAAACAGGCTATTTGTCAGTCACGCAAGCCTAAAGTTTCGTTAGAAACTATGAGTTGTTAAGTAAGTTCACACGTGTATGCTCTATGAATATGTAAACGGTGGTAGCTTATCGTTTTAGTTACAGTTTTAATGAGATAAAGTGACTAGTGTCACTAATTATTAGAAAAAGTAATGACAACAATCAGTTGCGCTTTCTCCTTAAGATTGATTTAATACGCATTGTTAATAATGGTGGAACTGATTTTAAATAAGATGAAGTTCGAATTGGTTTAAAGGTATCGTGTAAATTAACCTTTTTGTTGAATCGTACTAACGATAAATCAGGGTAGTAGGTAATTTGATTTTAAATATAAATTTTTGCTGTGCTACTAATCTACAACTTTTTTATTTATTTTAATAGTGAATACTTAAATCACTTCTTCAAAACATCAGATATATGGATGTTTCTGAAACTTAAGACATCCTTACTTACTGTGCTTATAAATGTGTTTATTTAATGTAATTTGTGCGTTTCTCAAAGTGTGCATAGTCTTTGGGAAATCATATAATCAACGAAGACATAGTCTGTAGTCCTGAAGTTGTTTCCATATCAACTTTATATTATTTAAATTAACAATTTTGTCTATTTTGTATTCCTAGGACTTAATAAAGATATGTTTTTTTTGTATAGAGATATTATATTACTGTTGATAATACCTATATAAAAAAAATTTTGAATATTACCAAAACTAACAACCTTCACAAAACCTCAGCCCGACATAAATACAATTTACTTCAATATATGAAACGCCATTAAGATAATTGTTAATTTCATTTTTAAACGATTTAAAATAACAGGCAATTTTCCTTTTTTCTTTTGTATATTCCTAAGTGAATCAGTTTTTTTTATTCTTTTATGTTAAATAATATAATGTAAAGTAAGTTCTCCTATTAGAATTCTATCCCCAACAGTGTAGACGTGAATCTGCTAATGATGGTTACTTCTAAAATTCATATTATTTATATTGATCTGGTAATGAGATGGTTTTTGTTAATATCGCTACTACTTTTCTTTCGGTCGTAGCCTAATGATGTTCTGAACTGGGGGTAGGCAGAAAATGTTATATAATATAATGAGAAATGACACTTGCTTATATTTTTTATAAAACATAACAAAGAAACATTTACAGAAAGAACCCGACAAAACACAATTTATTTCATGATGTCATAAGGTTTTTTATAAAAGTCTCCCGTTGGTCAGGCTGTCTATGTCCACTGTCTTTGTAAAGGGCTGAAAAATGTGTGAAAGTTAAAGTAACAGCGGCACAAATAGAAGTTGGTCACGCGATCAAGTGTCCATCTGTAATGGAATTGACGGTTTAAATAAAATACGATGTTTTGTTGCTGGCATACTTACAGTACTATGTTTCTTTTTTTTTTTAAAAGAGAAATTATTACTAGAACTTATAGCATTGTGTTGCCACAGTCTATTCTACCAGTCCGTCAACGGGACATCTAGACAGAGCGATCCTGAACGCATGACGGGGTTAAAATAATAGCGAGCCCAAGCTATTATACGCTCACTTGGGACATGGCAGTCAGGAATGTAACATTTTTTATGTGTACATACAAAAGATATGTGGATGTACGAGATAAATCTTTCATTAAGCTTGTTCTTTGTCAATTTATGATTAATAACCTTACATTCGCATAGGTATTGTATGTAAATGTAGTCCGTATAAAAATATTTACGATACTCGTAACTTTGCCACAATGACGAATGTCTAGACAAAACGATACTTAGCGCAACTTCAAAGGCGTTGTTCCACTGTAAGTTTTTTTAGTCTGTGGTTTATTATCTCCAGTAATAAGTAAGTTAGACAGCAGAAAAATGTGTAGTGCTACTTTTTGGAAAGTAGGTCAAAGTATTAAGTAGAAGGTATTATTTTGGCCAATCTCCAACTCTGGATACACAAACATCGTGTTTGAGTGAAGGTTTTGGTACTCGTATTATATTGATAATTTCCAGAACTAAAAAAAAATGTGTTGTTACGAAATTTTCTAAATTTGATATCGTTATACACATTAATATTTTATTCGATAATATTATAATAATTATTATCTGTGGTCATAACTTAATGTGTAAGTAGTCTATGGTGGACTCCATCTTGTTGTTGATTAGAAAGCCAATGTACATGTACTATGTGTGGATTGTATTTGAACAAATAATAAATATCATTGATTGCCAAGTGTTTATTTCATATAAATAACGTATAACATTATATGGCGCAGTCGGAAATAATAATATTAACGAACCATTGATTAAGAACAGAAAAAATGGAAAATCTCAAGCAACCTCCGCCGTTGCTGTTGGCATCAGGCAACCTAGAAGAAAACTTTAAGAAATTTAAGCAAAAGTTTACCTTCTATTTCAAAGCGTCAGGAAGTGAAAAGAAACAGATGAGTGAAGAGGAAAAAGTAGCATTGCTACTTCACATAATGGGTGAACAAGCAATAGATTTATTCAATACGTTTGACCTTGACGAAAACACGTGCACAATGAATGAAGTTCTTAAAAAATTTGAAAATTATTGCACCCCACTCAAAAATGAAACAATGTGCAGACACATGTTTTTTCAGCGAGACCAACGAGAAACAGAAACATTTGATGAGTTTCTGACAGCTTTGAAGACTTTGGCAAGTG